TCCCAGGTGGATGAGGAGCTGCAGATCAAGGCCTACTACGCCGGCCACGTGCTGGGGGCAGCCATGTTCCAGATCAAAGTGGGCTCGGAGTCGGTGGTCTACACGGTCAGTGGCGCCCTCGGGGCACAGGCGGGCTGCTGGGCGGGGAGAGGAGGCCCCTCCTGAGAGCTGCTCCCCTGCAGGGCGACTACAACATGACCCCGGACCGGCACCTGGGGTGAGTAGGTGGTGGTTTCATCCAGTGGCCCCCCCCCCCCCCCAAGCCGAGCGAGGCAGAGTCTCTCCTGTCTCCCCGAGGGCTGCCCTGCCTGCTGCTGGGCCTGTGCAGAGGAGGCCGCCCATCAGGTCCTGGAGGCCTTGGCGCGAGCGGGCTGGGTCCGGCGTGATGCTCCCCACCTGGAGGCCGTGTGGACTGTCCACCTCAGGCCACGCCCACTCTTCCAGAGCCGCCTGGATTGACAAGTGCCGCCCCAACCTGCTCATCACAGAATCCACATACGCCACGACCATCCGTGACTCCAAGCGCTGCCGGGAGCGGGACTTCCTGAAGAAGGTCCATGAGACCGTGGAGCGCGGCGGGAAGGTAGCGGCCGCAGCAGGGGCAGCGGGCAGGGCAGGCACCGCGTGAGGTCGGGACGGTGCTGTGGTTCTGGGCTGGGGAGGAGGCCCTACTCCTGTTGGGAAGAGAAACGCCCTTTGACCCTTTGGGGTACTGGTTTCCCCTCATCTCAGGTCCCACCACGGGGCTGGCCAGAGTGTCCACCAGGGTCCCTTGGGGATAGAGAGTGGCTGGAGGCAGGAGTGGGAGGGCAGGATGCAGGGGGGCCTCCAGCTCTCAGGGATGCCTGGCCATGACCTCTCAGTGGGCGTGGCCTCCGGCATAGGCACTGCCAGCAGGGCTGGACTCAAACAGCTGCCCAGCCACCGTGTTCACACGAGCGCCACCTGGGTGAGCAGGTGGCCAGGGCCCCCACCCACGCCAGCCTTGCCCCGCTGCAGGTGCTGATCCCCGTGTTTGCGCTGGGCCGGGCTCAGGAGCTCTGCATCTTGTTGGAGACCTTCTGGTGGGTGCAGCGGGCAGCTTCTGGGAGCCCTGGTCTGAGTGGGCGGTTGAGTGGGGCTGTGGGGCCAACCTGAGCCTGGGGGCCCAGAACAGCACATGGGACCATCGTCCTGCACTGAGGCCTCCACACACGTCAGCCCTGACGCTCTGTAGGAGGAGGCAGGCCGAGGGCGTCGGGGGGACATGCTGGTCCGGCCCTGGCGGCTCCTCCACGGCGGCCCCCACTGTCCACAGGGAGCGCATGAACCTGAAGGCCCCCATCTACTTCTCCACGGGCCTGACGGAGAAGGCCAACCACTACTACAAGCTCTTCATCACCTGGACCAACCAGAAGATCCGGAAGACCTTCGTCCAGCGGAACATGTTCGAGTTCAAGCACATCAAGGCCTTCGACCGAGCTTTTGCCGACAACCCGGGCCCAATGGTGAGGCCCTGGCCTGGAGGGGTGGGAGCGCGTTCCTCCTCCTTGTCTGGGGCCTGCCAGGGGTCCCTGCCTGTGAGGCCCCCTCCCCATGGAGTGGGGCACGTGGTGCTGGAGGGATTGTGGGTGGAGCAGGAGGCCCTGATGGTAGGGAGGACCAGGTGTGCTCAGAGCCTGGCTCTTGGTCAGGTGTGGCATGGGCCGCCCTGACTGCCCCCATGGTCGCCCCCTAGGTCGTGTTCGCCACACCAGGGATGCTGCACGCTGGGCAGTCCCTGCAGATCTTCCGGAAGTGGGCCGGGAACGAGAAGAACATGGTGAGGGTCTGGGATGGCTCCTTGGAGGGCTGGAGGTTGGGCAGAGGTGGGGAGCAGGGCCCTGGCTTGGGAACACTGCTGCTGTCAGGAGGGGTGCAGTACCTGGGCCCAGTGTCCGACCAGGCAGCTCAGAGGTCACTGTCTCTGCCCGTCCAGCATCAGGATCCCCTCCTGAGCAGGGGCCGTGGTGCTCAGGCCTGAGCTGGAGATGGAGGCTGTGCAGGCGGCTAGCAGCTCTGCCCTTTCTGCCTGCAGGTCATCATGCCCGGCTACTGCGTGCAGGGCACCGTGGGCCACAAGATCCTCAGCGGGCAGCGCAAGCTGGAGATGGAGGGGCGGCAGGTGGTGAGTGCCACCCTGCCCCTGCTCCCCGGGCCCCCCTTGGGCGGGTGCTGACAGCCTGTGCCCTGTGCCACTGCAGCTGGAGATCCGGATGCAGGTGGAGTACATGTCCTTCAGCGCCCACGCGGACGCCAAGGGCATCATGCAGCTGGTGGGCCAGGCGGAGCCCGAGAGCGTGCTGCTGGTGCACGGCGAGGCCAAGAAGATGGAGTTCCTGAAGCAGAAGATCGAGCAGGAGTTCCGTAGGCAGCGGGTGCAGGCAGGGTCGCCCCACGGGGTCAGCACAGCGGGGCTGGCCAGCCCGACCTGACCTGCTCTCTGCCCCTGGCCCAGGAGTCAGCTGCTACATGCCGGCCAATGGCGAGACCGTGACCCTGCCCACAAGCCCCAGCATCCCCGTGGGCATCTCGCTGGGGCTGCTAAAGCGGGAAATGGCGCAGGGTATGTGGGGCAGGCATGCCCGCTGGGCGGAGTCAGATGGGGCGGAGCCAGGCAGGCGGTGGCCCTGGCAGCTCTGATCCCTGCTCTTCTCTCAAGGGCTTCTCCCTGATGCCAAGAAGCCGCGGCTCCTGCACGGCACCCTGATCATGAAGGACAGCGTGAGTGCGCGGCAGGGCAGGCGCGGTGGGGGCGGTCAGGGCGGCACCCTGATCTTGGACAGTGTGAGTGCGCGGTGGGGGCGGGCAGGGGCTGCGCCGTGCTCTAACTGCCCTGCCCCACAGAACTTCCGGCTGGTGTCCTCTGAGCAGGCCCTCAAGGAGCTGGGCCTGGCCGAGCACCAGCTGCGCTTCACCTGCCGTGTGCACCTGCACGACTCGCGCAAGGAGCAGGAGACGGCCATGCGTGTCTACAGCCACCTGAAGAGGTGGGCGCAGCCTGGCCCCCGGGGGTGGGG